CAATAATTCTCCACACTTTCCTGAAGTTTTTCTTTTGACATATCCACTTCTTTACTTATGTTTACTTATGTTCAAAGTCCAATCCCTATACCTGGCCATTTTCACTGTTAAATCACTTTACACTGAGCTGTGAATCATTGAAGCACAAAAAAGGAACCTAAATCAAGGGATGAACCTTTTTTTCTAGACTTAACAGACAACTTAGCAAAGAACCAATCTCTATCTGTGTATTTAGGTATTTCGTTATTTGCAGCATGTCGCTAAAACACAAAATGTGTTCCAATTATTTAGCTGAATCTATTTTTTAAAATTCCAAAAATAACATCATTGTATACTTTTTCTTCACCAAAAACATGATTATTGAAGAGCTATTGATCAATATTTTTGTGTGCTGCGTGTCACTAAATAATTTGAGGAAACTGGACATGTGAAGGTGAAAAAAAGACACTACAGAAGATGAGCAGTATCTTCAAGTCACAGCCAAAAGAAAAACAGCAACAAAAAAATAATGATAACAATCCAACAAAGACCTTGCTAGAGTTGACCCTTCAGTTGATCATCTATGGTTCACTGAAGCCTCATCAGAAATGGTCCCAAATGAAGGATGGCTGTCAAGAATCCATTCTTAAGGAAGTGAAACAGGGAGAAAAGGCTGAGGGATGCCAAATGACACACAAATTGGACTAAAAATCACTGGTAACAGGTCTTATGGAGTGATGAATCCAAATTTGACATTTTTGGTTCAAATAATCAGAGGTCAGGAGAGAAGCCCAACAGTGAGAGTCTATAGCCATCTGGAAAACACGGTGAAGGCTCGTTCATTTTAGACAGTGGTGTTGGGGATCTTTTGAAAATTGATGGATTTATGAATTCGGATTTGACCAAATGCAACACCATCTGTAAACAGTGTGATTGGCAATGGCTTCATTTTTCGGCACAATGATTCCAAACGAACTGCCAGTGCAGTAAAAACATACCTGGACAGAAAAGCACACAATGGAACAATATCAGTCATTGATTGGCCTCCCTGGAGCTGTGACTTCTCCGGGATCATCTTTACAGAAAATGTGAAAGAAAAAAGGCAGCCAACATCCAAAGAAGAGCTTTGAATCTCCTTCAGGAGGCCTGGAGAACTGTTCCTGAAGACTACTTCCAGAAATAAGAAGAGTTCAGGCTGTGATGAAGAATAAAGGCAGTCATACCAAATACTGATTTCAAGCTCATTAGAACTGAACAAACTTTGTTTTTTCCTCACGTTTTGATAAATAACTGTATCTACTTCCCATTTTCTGGAAGAATAAAAAGAAATTACATGTACTATATACTGCATCTCCCCAGCTAGACAACCTTCCTAAAAGAACTATAAGACATTGATTTATGTGGCTCCAGTCAGTTGTTTTGGGATTTTCTTTGCCACCAACCATGAAGTTAAAAGGGAAACACTTTCACGGAAAGTATGCAGACATGTGAAAGTGTTTAATCACTAAGCTCCTGTGGGCGCATGCCTGGGGGATTTTCGAAGTGGCATTGGGAGCATGCTGTCAACACAAAGGCATCTGTGGACACACTTATGGATTGCACATAAACAAACACACACACACCCAGAATCAAAGATGTATTAGTATTCACTGACAATTTATGAGAACTGACAAACAATCCTGTTGTGCGTCTTCAGTCGAGAGTTATCTAAAGAGAGGTTTCTAAAGAAGAGAAAGACAATCTATGGTTTGTATATATCCTGCCTTTACAGGTGCTTCATCTCATTTGAGCTGCGCCACGTCACAATCAGTACATCTTGGGACTTCTACTATCAGCAATCGCAAATGCAGATATAGTCCCAGCCCCGGTAAATAATAACTTTTAATCTTTGCTGTGTGTACGTAGCTCTTCACAATCAGGATTGTGAGAAAATCACCATCTAGGTCAAGGCAGCTAAAGGAGAAAGAAGCTTTTTAGACACCTTTTTTAACCAGCGGGATGAAAAAGAAATCTTTAGTGCTCCCAGTCACACATAAAAAGCCATCTGATGTGCCTTCCCTGGCTGCACAAAACAAATGTGTTTCCTCCATTTTACCGTGTGATTTAAACATGCTTAATATGGTTTATCAAATAAATCCTAGACATAAACTGGATTGATTAAATCCACAGAAATCGTCCAAAAAAAAAAAAGAAACAACATTATCTGAGCTTTGGTGTGCAAATCAGTCAGGGTAGAAAGAAGAATCTGTAAAGGGCCCTTTCTTTTTCTTCTGATGACATGTGCTGTGTGTAATCACGCTACAATGACTGCAGCCTTTTTAGATTTGTGTGTCTAGAGGACAAACAGAGGCTGGGACACTTTGATTATGAGGGAGAGCGAGGGCAGTGCAGCTGCTGTCCGTGCTAACAGCATCTCCTCTGCTTCATTAGATATCGCCTGTGTCTGTGTTGAGTCTCGATGTTTGTTTCAGGCGATGGGAAACATGAATCAAAGCATTCTGAGGTTTGCTCTCTTGCTTCCTGTGTGCAGAGAAAGAAAGCACTTATACAGCAACAAAATCCTCTCCGGGGAGTGGAGAGAGGAGTGAGGGGGAAACAGAGCAACGCAGCACTTTGAATCCTGTCCCCAATGGTCTGAAATCCAGAAATGATAGCTGTATGTACAGAGTCACGTGGGAGCTGGTAAAATTGATAGGATGGCAAAGGGTTGGGGTTTTTTTTTTTTACACAGCTCAAACTGCTTTAAAGAGTTGGGAGCAAAGCCAAAGAGTGAGGCTGAAAAGAATGAGAGAAAATGATCCTGTAGTTTCTTTGCTGTGCAAATATCACTGAGAGAGATGACAGGATAAAATGTGCGCTGTCGAGACCATACAGAGGTGTCAGGACTGATTAACAGAAATGATGCATCATTGTCCTCAACTTTAGACGTTGTATTTTTAGCTGATTTGTAACATCTAGTTATTAGAAGGTGAGATTTTCATTCGTGAGACATTTTCAAGTTTACATACTGGGATATCTTTTAAAGAAACAAATGTATACAACCTGTCAGCCAAGAAAAACTGCTCTTTTTTTTTTTTGTTTAGAATCGACAAATGTTCTCAGCTGTCCTCAAATACGATGATAATATGTTATAAACGTGAAGAAAGGACTTTGTTACCTGTACTTGATTGACCTCTTACCGGTCAGTCCACTAAGTCATGACTTTTCTTTGTTTTGAAAACTTGTTTGGTGACCTGTTGCATGTCGCACCCCTCTCTTCTCTTGTTCCACATCGCTGAACCATACATATTTCTATTCATTCACATCTTATATTTGCCAAATAAAGTATCCAACACATGAAACTAGACTTCCACACATACAGATGAACTTTGAAATGTGTATCTTTACATTAGACTCATAAATCTTTGGATCTTGCTCTTTGTTTTTCAGTAGCTTTCATCTTTTGTTCCACATGCAGTAACACGGGCTGCCAGGGTGGATTAAAAGCCTTCTTTTCCTGGTCTTCAGTGGCCCATCATTTCTCTTGTCGCTTCACAGAAGCTGGGGGTCCCCGAGGTCAGCCCCTTGACAAATGGACCAACTCATTGTGTGAACCAAGAAGGAAAGGAGACTGAAAGAGTGAAAGGATATTTGTTGCTACCACGGTGAGTAGAGACCCTGCCATTTGCTTTTTTCTGACCGACGCCCACTTGAGGAAACTCCAAGCTGTGCAGCACACATAGAGACAGCGGCTTGAGAGGCCCACTTAATGCCTGTCCACAGAATATGCGCCATCACTTACACACACACACCATAATCCCACGGGACCTCTGTCGCCCCCTTAAAAGTGAGGCTGACACGAGCCTCAGTCTCAACCCTAAAAATCCCAGCTGACCACTGCACTCACGCGCGCACACAGACACACACATAAATATGCACACAATTCCCCACATGAGAAAGTGGGGGGCCCTATGCCGAGCAGGTGATGCAGTAGTCGCACACACTGCAAGCTGTGTGGGCATAAGTGTGCGTGTGTTTGCGTGATAGAGGGGGGCTCGTTTGCCGTCTGTCAGTCCTGTCAGACCTGCTGCTTGCATGATCAGCCAGTCGCTGTTTCTCTTCTCCTGGGGTTTCTCGGTTGTGTGTGTCTGTGCATGTGTGTGTGCATGGTGGCATGTGTTTCTTACAAGACTGCCCTGACTCACAGATCAATCCATCCAGGATTGTGTATCATCCTAATTGTATTACTGGGGCCGATATCAGTTAATGACCCACCCACCACAGCCCCCACTTCTCCACGAGTTTGGTTTGACAGCGATTCGACCTGGTTACACGTTATGCCGTCATACCCAGCGGGCGAAGGATTTAAAGCTGCACTAGGCAAGATTTTGATCTGAAAATATATTTATCGACTCATCCTAATTCATAAACTGGGACTGGAGGGAAAAAAGACTCAGGATTCAAGTCAATTAACCCCATGAAACTCTGATGCTACTTTTTTGTGGAACTGATCAAAGTTTAGCAGTATTTTGAAACTATAAAAAGTATTAAGTAAGCACTTGTGATAGCTGAACAGAAAATATTTGCATCATATTTCTAATATCTAAATTTTTTTTGTTGTTTTTGTATGTCATTTCCTTTACCAGTTTGCAAAATCCCCCAATGCAGGTTTAAATCACTTCTGTTAGTGATTAAGCCACTGTTACAGCATATTTACAATGATAAGGTCATGATCCATGGGCAATTCACACTAAAGCGCACTAAATATGGAGTTTTTAATATTAAATATCGTTGCCTCTGGTGCAATTCAGCAATTCTGATCTTGCTAAATCTTTCCTATGTTTCATGACCTTTAAGCAAGGCAATGCCGTTTTTAACAGATTAATATATCTGTGTTGCTTGGAGCGGATAATAAAGATTAAGACATAGGTCACCAACAGTTCACACACAGATGAGCACCTTCAGAGACAACACAGTTCCACAATGAGTGAAACATGCATATGAAAAGTCAAGCCTAAAGGACTAAAGGTTGTGATACATACCTTGTCAAACAGAGACTTCCATTGCTGAGACAAGTAAAAAGAGAAAAAGATAGAGCATGTGAAGCAATGAATAAGAGAAATAGATGGGAAGAAAAAAAAACTCAGAAACAGGTACCAGACAGGAGGGAAGCACCTGTTTGATAATGATGAATCTCGGCCAAGAGGGCTTCACTATGCGCATTTGCCATAATTGCAGTCTTGTGATCACATGCAGCTATTATCTGATCATTACGGTCAATGAGCCGCAGCAAAAGATAACAAGGTACCAAAAGTGTGCCTCGTTATGTGTAAAAGGTAGTATGCTGTGTGCGTGTCTTTGGAAAAGATGAAGCAAAGTGCTGGCTGCTTTTACTACCTCGGCTCTCAAAAGAATAAACAGTATTTTAAATTCCATCTCGTGTCCTTGTAAAACGCTTGTTTTTGTCAGTTGTGCCACTGAATTATGGACAAATGGCTTTCTGGAATTAATTTTAGAGGGACTGTGTTTAACTTCGCTCAAAGAAAATGAAGCTGAAGGTCCTAATTCGTAACTGTGAAAATGTCAAAAGGTTACAGGGGTCATGTGTTCAGTCGACGCCACATTGTGTAGACCTACTTCTTCTGGAGCCACTGGGATGACTTCGGTACTTTCCAAAACCTCGATCTCCTCGCCTTCTGCGTTGGCCGCCACCGCCGGAGAGATGTTCACCGGCGCCTCCCGGGTTCCGCCTGTCATTCTCAGGCTGCTCTTCTCCATACACCCACGGAGAGCAGCGATGCGGTCCTTAGGAACGACTCCACATGCTGTAGTTTAAAATCCCATGCTCCCGCCGCGATGAATTAAACGTGTGCGCACTCCGGTTATACCCGACGCACTTTCACATAGACTGAGCAAGCAAAGCTTCATCCGCAAGGGAAAAGTTGACGTCTGACAGTTTAGTAAAAGCCAGTTAGGGGATAAAAAAAAGTACCCATACAGCGTCACACAATTTGTCAATACATCGTTAGTCAGCAGTGACAAAAGGTTTTCAGAGGTGGAGATGAGTCTTTCCGCGAAAAGAGGCGACGATCCAAGTTTGCGATGCTGGGGACGCACATTGGCAGAGCGAGTCTTCTCACTTCGAGAGGTGCGACGCAGCAGCAGCAGAACGCAGATCCAACTGAAAAAAAATAATTACATCATCAGTAGTGACAACAACATGAAACCCAGAAAAGGGATGACGACATCAACCTATGAAGTCTCGTATGGCTTCTCCGGGCAGAGGTAAAAGTCTACTTCAGAAGCGTGGGCACATGGCACACTGGGAGAGAAGTTCAGTTAGGTGCCAGCTTCTTTTTTGTGGTGCGTCACGTTACCTGGCACGCTGTTTTCTGCCGGTCGACGGCGCAGAGCGGGAAAGGCCGTCTGGTTTCTCCACCGTGCGCCGTGCAAGAAACCTGAAGCGCGGGCGGGGGGCACAAACCGACCGCCTCAGACGGGATGGTTGGATCAGCTCCAGGAGACGCCGCGACTCTGCTCCATCCGCATACGTCCTTCCAGGCACAGAGGGAGTGAAGAAGAGAGGGAAGGTGGGGGCGGAGAGATAAGGGAAGGGAGGGAGAAAGGGAGAGATTTGGCCGGCGGTGAGGAGGGATCACCAGCCACTGCCTCTCGGGGGTTTCGAGGAACTCCGGCTCCCTGAGCGAGCAGCTGGCTGTCGCTGGCTCGTGGGGTTTAGGTTGATTTGTGCACGATCGTAACGACTTGTGTTCTTCATCTTTACTGCTTAAGTGTGACCATATGGAATACAACATGCTCATTTTTTTTGTATTGTTTGTGGAAAAGTCTTGTTTTAAAAGACTTTTGTAGCTGTCGAGCACAGCTGTACCCAAAAGACAAGCCTCGCCCCATCCACCCAACAATTAGAACATGCACTTGTCCTAATCTCTTCCTCCCCGTAAAACATTAAGGAAGCAGATGGTTTATTTAGGGAAAACACGATAACATTACTAAGCAAAGAATACTTCTGGAGCAGGCAGGTGTTTGTTCTTAAGCAATTTGCTCCCAAAATATAAATATTAAGCATAAATTATCCGCGCCAAAAGCTGAAAATTACTCTTAAAAATGATGGAGAATACCAGAGGGAATCACTGCATTGTAATCCACTATGTGTTTTGTTTTCCGTGCACACACTGGTGAAGAAATTCATAAAGTTAAGTTTATGACACTTAAAATTTCCTAAGGGAGGACCCTCGCTTAATGTCCCACCATATGCTCAAATAAAAACTACAAACATAGTATCTTGGTTCAACATTTCCCTGTTAATATTTGCAGCTAGAGTGAGCATTTAACGTTTGGTCTGATCCAACTCATCTAAAAAGTCCATTCATTTAACTTTATTTTTATAGCACAAAATTACTGTAAAAGTCTACATTCACGATTTTATTTCAAGGTAAAGATTCCAAAAAAATCTAGAAGACAAACCCAACACAACAGTAAGCAAGACTTGGCATACAGCTCTATTGTGCTATAAACACTAATTAATCATGCCCCAAAAAACAGCATGCAAAATCGCTTCAGTCTAAAAGCGGGAAGGAGGGAGTGTCCAAAGCTATAAATTCCGTTTTATTTAGAGGGATATAAAATGTCCCCTCCGGCAGCTACAAAAAGCAGGGGCCCCACCTCAGACAAACACATACCAATTACCTGAGGAGACATCAAACAAACATAATAGTTGGGTGGAAGCCATGTATGAGGAGAAATTATGTGGTCTGCAGTGTGTGGGTTGATCAGTATCCATCAAGTAAACCTCCCCCAGGTACTTCGTGTTCGCATTACCATGGTAACCATATGACCAGTTGATATTTTTTACCCTGGGGGTCTCTCCCTGACTCCCACACAACAACTTGGGATTAAAGCTGAACTTTGTCATGTTGCTTAAAAAAGGAGGGAAACAGAATACGTGGTCAAAGGTCACCAGACCCAGTGTTGAGATTCTGTATTCTTATTTTGTGCTTTTTGTGCGCTGAGAGAAAAAAGTTTAATGACAGGTTTTCTTTTTAACTTACTGTAGGTTGCACAAATAATTCACTCTTCATTACCTCACATGACCATCTCCGTGCAGGTGAAGCAGATACACGAGCGACACCTTACGATCTGATTTGCACTTCTATTTATATCCTGAAGCAGAAACACAGCCCCAGATAATCACACTACCGCCACCATGTTTGACTTTATGATGTTCCTTTTATGAAGCAGCATTTGTCTCTTCAGTCTACAGAATATTTTCTAAAAGCCTTGGGAATCATCAAAACATTTGATGGGTTTTTTACAAATCTGAGATGAACCTTTGTGTTCTTTTTGGTCACTTGTCATTTATCCATATTGGATCTCTCCCATGGACGTGCACTTTCTCTCTTGCTGCTAAATTGTGAACACTGAACTGAGGCAAGTGAGGCCTGCAGTTCTTTAGATGTTGTTCTGGTTTCTTTGATTTGTCATTGAGTCTCTGTTTTTGTCATTGTTGTAGGATGGCCACTGCTGGGAAGCTTCACTACTTCACAAAGGTTCACAAAGTTTGGATAATGGCTGTCTGTGTGGTTTGCTGGAGTCCCAAAGCCTTATAAAAATGAGTTTGAAACGCTTTTTTAGATGGATTGATGTCAATGACTTTGATTCTCAGCTGTTTCTTTAGATTGTGGCATGATGTGCTGCTTTTTGAGATCTTTTACCTGCTTCACTTTGTCAGAAAGATTCTGTTTAAGTGGCTTTAATTAGGCTTCAGTGTGGCTAATGAAATTAAAGTCAGCTTTCAAACAAACATGCATAATCACAGTTAATTGTGGGAAATTTCTTTTTCACACAAGGCTGACGATGCATTGAATTGTGACAAATATGCAAAAACCTAAGAAATCAAGGAGGTGGTAACTACTTTTTCATGACACCCTATCTTACTGTAAAGCTATAAAACCAGGCATAAAATCATAAAAGACACCAGAGAACCAGCAAACTTATTGTCTCAACAGCTGCAGACAGCCCGGAAATTTCCATTTAAAACAAGTACAAAACCAGCTTTGAGGTGGCTTTCACAGGTCATGTGTTAACATCAGCTGAAGAGCTGTAACCCAAGAGACAGAGAGAAAGGACAGAGGTGATGAGGAAAGAGAGTGTGAAGAAGAAACAGAGAGAGACAAGATGTTTGGTTAGAAAAACACCTGCTATGTGGGGGAACTTAGCTCATCTATAAATGAAGACCTGAACTGTATCACTTTCTTTTCGCATCCGTGTAGCTCAGGGCTGTTTGCAGGCACCGACTGCTCCTTATTAACACCATTCCTGATGGTGTGAAAGTGTTCATTTGCACTGAAATTAAAGTGACTGAGTGAATCAGTGATGGACTCATTGATTGTTAATTATTTAAATGTTGTTTTTCTTCTCTCCATTTTTATATTTTGTATTCATTTATTTATTCGTTTGTGTATTTTGCATATCCCATACTTGCAGTAACAGATGCTGACTAAGTTTAATTAGGTTAAGTGTTTTAAAAAGTTTCCATTATTGATTCGTTTTAGCTACTATGACCACTGTCTGCTGTAGAAAACACTACACTACACACTTTTTATTTAACTTCATATTATCTGTTGCTATAACTAGTCTGCTATTAAAATGTATACAAGCACATTAATTTTAGCTATAGACATTTGAACTAATGGCAGAAGTTAGTTCACTCATTTATTCATTTGCTTTAACCAAGAACATCACAAACCTGTTATCTTTTTATATAAACTAAGAAAAAAGACTTAAAGACTTTAAAACAGTAGTAATTAATAGAAACTGAAATTCCCAATAAATAAATAAAAAAAAAATATATATATATATATATATATAAAATAAAATAAAATAAAAATCCAGTTAAAATTAGTCCTTTTACACCTTTTACAGTGAGTCTGAGTCAGAATCAGACTGTATGGCTCACAGTCTGGTTTTAGCCACTGATGGAGACTTTTTTTTTAAGCAACGCTGCCCTCTTGTGTTAAGGTAAACCTTATTTCCAAATTGTTGCATACCGAATATAATCTGGAGAAAGACAGGACCAGTAGAGGACAAGAGGAAAGTTAAGAGTGTGGTAAACATCCTGAATATAAAAGCACGAATAAAGAAGTTACTGTTTTTCAATAATTTAATTAGTTGTGTATAAATAACTTCTGTCTTCTGGAGTCTTCTGGAGATAACAACTTTCAAAAAAAGAAAATCTTTGACCTGAAACACAATAAAATAACTCCAGTACACCACATTGTTCAGATATATTTATTCAATGTAAACTCTTGGAAAGGCAGGGATGAATGAATACAGAAACCAAGCAGTGAAGCAAGTAGCTGCATTTGGTTGAAAATGAGCATCTAGAGAAAATTATTACACCTTTTGTAACCAGGAGAGATCGGTGAGTCCTCGATTTTGGGGACTTTACAAGCAATGAGGAGAAGCTGTGAAGATGTTGGGCTACAATAATTCTTAAAACACTGAACTGTCATCAAAAAGTTTGAAGCATGCAAACTTTATGACAAGCACTTGCATACTTACAGATAAAATGTAAAGTGACCAACATAGGAAGACATGAGAAAGCGCAGTAGACCTTTCGTTTCACACATTCACTTCCACTGATATAATCTTGATCCGCTCAGGTAGCAACAAAAAAAATAAAGCAAACATTTAAAAAATAAAATAAAAAATAGTAATAATGTGCATCCAGGCATTTGGCCATTAAAGGAAATCCTAATTTCTGCAAGGTGATAATGATGAAAGATTGTGCTGTTAATAGCTCTGCAGTCAGTGCTGAAATGTGACTCAAAAGTGGCCTTTTAGAGACAAATAAATCAAACTTACACACAGTCTACGCTATATACAGTATTTACATCTTCTTCTAAAGAATTACTTGCATATGTTACACATCACAAGCCTTATCGTACTGAAAGTGACACTAAATTGTTCATCATATCAGCAAGCAACCAAAAAAAATAGCTTTTTACGTAACTCAGTATGACTAACCAGCAGCTCAACCGTGTTTCTTTTCATATAAATATATTATCTTTATTTGCACAGGACAAATTGAGCAAATTAGCATTTGGTAGAAAATTAAATATTTCTTTGTATCGTCCCCCAAAGAGAAACAGAAATGAAAATGCAAAAAAACCTAAATGTCTGCTTATTTGCACATATCTCTCTCTTATTTTTAAACGGGGCTTATTAAACAACAGAATTATGAGTGATTTTCCATAAAGTTAACCCCAATGAAAACAGGAAAATCAAAACTTCCGACTGGTCAAATTAGCTTTTATGTACCCCGGGTAGTGAGGGCTGGACTGAATGCTGAAAGATCACCGCGTTTTGAGCAGCACTCTGTACATGGCGAATCCCAGCACTGCAAACACCGTGGCTCCAACGCTCGCTCTCAGCCAGAAGGTTGAGCTCTTCAGGTCCGCTTGGCTAACGTGTCTGTTAAATAGAGGGATGCAGAGTGTAGAGACATATGTAAAGAGTTAAAAAACAAAAACAACAACAACTGATTTTCTGTATCATATAACCCTGTTTTCACTTGGCTTTAAAATTCATTTTTGTGTGGCTGGGTTAAAACAGCTAAGATGTAGTTACATTTGTCGCCATCATGTGTATTCATGGTGTCCGATTTAACTCACATCGTGTTACTGACTATATGACCGGTACACCTGTGGTGGATGAGCATGGGAAAAACTACTGAGTTAAACTGATTTAAGTAGGAAACTACACTACAAAAGACATGCGGCTAAGTTTCTCCCAGACAACCTGGGCAGGTTGTTTGAGTGACTCGTGTGTTGTTGTTGGTTTATTACATCTGGATTTAACGCCGTCAACTTGTGACTGATGATCACCCAAGTTGATGCATTTTAAAACTAAGTGTGAACAGGATCACAGATAATTCATTACTAGGACAGAAGTGACTCACAGACATCTCATCCTCTTTAACATCAAAACAAAAATTAAACTATTTCTCTTCCCCGATTAGCTCTCAACTTTCCAATAAAAGTGACAAACAGATCAAATAAGCAGTGACATTAGTTGTAAAGAAGGATCGCATGAAAATGAACATTAAGAAAATATTGATGAGCGGATGACAGAACAAGCAGAAAGCTGTGACATATTGAGACGCTGAAGCAAAAGCCACTCAAACAGATGAGGGACTTAGAGGTTTATAGTTACGGATGCATGAGACAGCGAGACCAGAAATGAGTTGTGACAACTCTGTTAGATGAGACGGCTGAGGCACAGTGACATATGCAAAGCTGATACCAACAGAATGACAATCAGATTGAAGTCAAACACTGGGGAAAAATGATGATGATGAAGTCTTTATAAAAAAAAGAAAGCAATATCAAGATTGAGATGGAAAAAAAAAAGCATGAGCAAAATGATGACAACTAAAAAGGACTGTAGAGGGAAAGGGAGTAAACTTAATGGCCTCTGAAAAAACAGTTCATTACAGAACAGAAATATAAATGCAGTATAGGAAATAAAGTATGAAAGGCTGGAACTTCAACAAAACCAGATTAGACAGAAACGAGCATCATATATGCCGTGAGAAGCATTTAAACAGATCTACAGCAACACTAAAGGCTTGTGTTGCTCCAAAGGAAAGTTACTAATATTGAGCAAAACTAATATTTTCTGTACATTTGTATAGGAATGAGGATATGAGATTTTTGCATGGATGACTTAAGGTTCACCATCCTCGAATGTGGCGATTAAGAATTAACGGGAAAGAACCGGTCCCTT